AATTGTGTGTTAGAATGGCGCAAAATAGCTCCCGCCATTCTGCTGCGAGTAGATTTAGCCTGTGCAACTAAGTTAAGCAAGGCCTGCCAATATACGAACCTACTCTGACATACAATGAAGTGGCTTCATTACCGTTACAGACACTTCAACATTTAAAGATTGAAAGCATGGAGTTTTCGCGATGGGAGGGAAATTAACTTTAAATTATAAAAGGTGGTCTTGATTCGTATATAGGAACCTGAACTAATTGTTGAGGAACTGAGAACGACTGATGGGCCCACTCCAGAATAAAAGCCATTACGCAAAGCATTTCTTGATTGTCTAGGGGCGCACCATTACACGTTTCTGAAAACTAGTTCTTTAAATATATATGAAGTTTCTACTAAACTGCCTTCTTATGAGAGCTGGCAACCTGAATGAAGTTGGAATGCTTCAACAACACCAATTGATTGTTGTAGTATGAGGACGTATGTAAAGATAAGATGTAGCATCGCAAAAACTTCTTTCCTTCTGTTACTTATACATATCTGAATTTGCTTTTGCTTCGAAATTTTCTTCGCGTATTTTCCGTTGCTGTAGATAACACTACGACTGAGTTATTTAGTGTTATGGCTGCCTCTTTCTACATATATGACGTACTCCTCACAAAATTCAGTAATTTTTTACCTTTTATAGAGGTCAAAACTTGCCGATTTTTTAGTTGTGAATAATTTCAGTACTTGTAGTATTTCTTGGAATTCAGTGGGAAAGCGTAGTGCACTCCTTAAACAGCCTTTCCTTTTTCCATTTAATGATAATCATGCTTACCAAACATGTAAAAAAATTTGTATCTTCCTTGTAATGCGCTCCTTCTTATTTCGTTGGATTTCAGTTTTGTATAGGTATCTGATGGTTTGACGGCCTACATAGTCACAATCTACAAGGGTGAATTTTGCTGTAAAGTCTGCACCTGGAATGAGGTAATGTGCTTCATGTAAATAGTTATGCATCAATTTACCTTTATACATGCGTGAATCACCTACGTTGTTTGGCAGTAACGGAACTATTTTTGATATGTTTTGCTCTGTGCCGATCACGATAATTAGAGAATGAGAGATTATTACTCGAATGCGAGCAGCTGAAGCCCTTTCACTCTCTTCCGGGATAGAAGCGTTCTGAAGGAGTTTTATTGTTGGATTACTAGCTTTTTAGGCCTTCAGTATCATGGTACGAGACGCTGTTCAACCGCACATATCGTTTGCTTGTAGGATTGCGAAAACCTCCTTACTATACTGAGCAGGCTCTGCAGACATGGCCGTTGTATTAATTTAACTCTTGGAGTAGATGGCAGGTTATGTGGTTTCAGAAAATGCGGAGTATACTCCACATTTTTAAGTGCTTATGTTATGTTTTTAAATGCTTTTTGCTTATGTTGTTATGCTTGGAAATAGTCGCGACTGAATGAGCGACTTAGTTTTTGAGTGCGGCGATTCAGTATACAATAAAAGAATAAGAATGGAAATATGACAGCAATATAGAATAGTCACTCGCGTTAATATTGGCTGTAAACGCTTTAAAAGTTTCTTTTCTTCTAAATAGCTTTTCAGTCCAAGTTAGATCTTGCGCGCTCTGAATTAATCGGAATAGCGAATCACAGTACATGTGATAGCAATTACTCGGAATCATATATAC